ATTGGAGTGTGGAACAATTATTCTCATTATTTTCACTTTAGAACATATTCTAGCTAATATTTTCACTCAAGTTTAGAGAGGGTTTTGTGGACACTTGAAGAAAGGAGTTCTTCTTCCCCAAGTTAGCTAATAAGTTCCCTCTCGAGCAACTTACCCAAGTTTTGTGGACGCTTGAAGAAAGGAGTTTTGCTGTCACATTCAAAGAACCTTTCCCCATACTTGATTTTCTTGTTTATTTTGTTGTTTTAGCACTTGTTACAAAACCCCCATTTGATAATTGATACTTCCGTGTCACCCCCTTTAATTTACTATGTCTTTTATCGCAAACGTCTTTAACTACGACTAACTTGAATGAAATTCTAATTGGTTATTAATTCTCAAAAACCGCTCCCTTGGGACACGACCCCAACCCTCGATTGGGTTACTATATTATCGACAATCGTAGACACTTATATCGTAGGATAGTGTCGTTGGTCACGATAAGCATCAAAATGGCGCCGCTGCCGAGGAGTGGTGTTATTTGAGAGTTTGTAGTTAATCAAAATTCTTGTTTTTCTTAGTTTTAGCTTTACTGACTTAATTTTTAGCTTTGCTTTGCTTGTTTATGTTGAAAATAGAAATTATGAGTGAGGACATGGGGGATAGTTGCCACACAAACAACCCATGAACACTGACTTGCACCGAGATGACATTGACGATGCAAATAGTGTTTATGACCCCACTCCATTGGGTGATATAGGTGCAATTCGCTTGCCGCAGAATGGTGGAAACGGAAATTTTGAAGTCACCAGCACAACACTCTATCTCATACATTCAAGGGGCCTATACGGAGGATTGGATCATGAAGATTCACATGAACATATCCAAAGCTTTTTAGATGTATGTGCCCCCATTGTCATTCAAATATTGGTCACAAGAAGCCATTAGGCTTCACTTATTCCCATTGTCACTAACAGGAGCTGCCACTACGTGGTTGTCTGAGCTTCCCAAAAGTTTTATCACATCATGGAAAGAATTAGTCACTGCTTTCCACAATAGATTCTTTCCCCCGTCAAAAATGATGAAGTTGAGGGACGACATTCAGAATTTCAAACAAAAAGCGAGTGAACCAATTCATGAGTCGTGGATTACATATAAGAGGTCTCTACGAAAATGTCCAACACATGGGCTGCCAAGTGAGTTGCTACTCCAATATTTTTACCGAGGTCTTGATTCAGTCAACAAAGGGATAGCTGATCAATTGGTCCAAGGAGGCATAATGCTACAGCCCTTTTAGGTGGCTTCATTTCTCCTAGATGGTATGGCGAGAGAAAATCAAGTTTGGTACGCCAAAGAAGATCAAGTCTCCCCTCTGTGTTTCAGGCTAGCGCAAGAGCAACTCTATAAAGCTTAAGAGAGGGATGAAAACATCAAAAAAATGTTGTCACAAATGGAATATCTACAAGAGCACATGAAAGGCAACTGTAAAGTGTTTCGCGCAGAAGGGAGTTCTTTTTCTGATAACTTGAAATCGGGAGGGAATCAAGGTCGGAACCACAGAAGGAATGAGGAGGATTTCCACCCACACTATGAATCGCGGGTTGGAAATCAAGGTTGGAACCACCCTAGAGGTGAAGTACCTAGGTGATATTTCCAAGAGTGGACTGAGCATGACGATTGTGAAGAGTACCAAACTCAACTAAGTGACTGCCCGACATCAAGGGGGAGTGACAGCAGCCCTAGGGTGAATAATCAACTGACACAAATTCTTGAGAAAGTTGAAGGTTCTGATGATTTGCTAAAGGGAATGAGAGATGATTTTTCTTCACAAAATATCAAGGTGAACTCTCATACTAATGCCAACAAGATGCTAGAAGGTCAATTGAATCTCCTATCGGCTCAACTAACAACCAAGATGCCAAAAGAAAATGAGAAAGAAGAGTTGGTTGTAATTACCCGTAGCGGGAAGGTAGCGATAGGTAACGAAGGAGAAGAACGTGAGGAAAATAAGGGTGAGGAAGAAGCAGAAGTTAGCGATCATTAAAACATCGGCAAGAAAGCACAAGAAGAAATGAATCAACACAATGAGACTTCAAAAATAATACAAACCTTACCCAAAATACATCCACCTTTTCCCCAGCGTTAGAAAGAGAAGAATGAAGATGAGAGCTTTAAAAAATTCTTGTTTGTGTTCAAGAAGTTGTCCATCAACTTTCCTTTGGTGGAAGCATTGCTGGAGATGCCAGGGTATGATAAATTCATGAAAGTGTTAGTCACCAAGAAGAGGATCTTGGATTATGAAATGATTGAAGTACCTCATAGTTGCAGTACGATCATGACAAAAGAGTTAATCACTAAAAGGGACGACCCTGGTGTTTTCACCATCCCATGAACTATTGGAATGCTCCATTTTGCCAAGGCTTTATGTGACCTAGGAGCAAGCATCAACCTGATGCCACATGTTATATACAAGCAACTTGGATTGGGAGAACCAAAGGCAACTACCATGAGACTTCTCATGGAAGATCGATCGATCAAGCATCCTGTTTGGATCCTCTACGATATCTTGGTCAAACTGGATCGATTTATATTTCCAGCTAACTTTGTCATTTTAGACTGTGACATTGATGTTAAGGTCCCCATTATTTTGGGAAGGCAATTCTTAGCAACTGGTAGAGCATTAGTGGATGTTGAAAGTGGCAAGTTGAAATTCCGTGTGAATAACGATGAGGTAACTTTAAACATCTGCAAGTCCATGAAGAAACCAAGAGATATCCATGCAGTGTCTACTGAAGATGTTATAGATGAGGCAATAGCAAGTGTGAGCCATCTGCTGCACAAGAATGAGCCTCTTGAGTCAATACTTGCAAATCATGACGATTCAGAAATTCAGGAATATGATTAAATGATCGCAGTCCTAACATGGATAGGAGCGCATGCACGAAATCCAATTAAGTTGGATATCAACCTAAAAAACCGATGCAGCCCACCTGCAAAGCCATCAATTAAAGAGCCGCCAACTCTAGAGCTGAAAGTACTCCCATCCCATCTTAAGTATGTTTTTTTTGGCAACTAACAACACTCTGCCAGTGATTATTGCAGAAAATCTCAGTGAAAGGCAGGTAAAAGTGCTTGTTGAAGTACTGCAGAAGCACATAAAGGCGATCGGATGGACCATAGCTGATATCGTGGGCATTCTGCCCGGTATCTGCACCCATAAGATTCGGCTGGACAGTGAATGCAGATACAGTGTTGAGCATCAGCGAAGGTTGAACCCCCCGATGCAAGAGGTAGTAAAAAAGGAAATCATCAAGTGGCTTGATGCAGGAGTAATCTATCCAATTTCAGACAGCAAATGGGTCAACCCAGTGCAATGCATACCAAAAAAGGGTGGCATAACAGTGATCCCAAATGCTAAAGGAGAGCTTGTGCCGACTAGACTTGTAATAGGATGGAGGGTGTGCATGGATTATCGAAAGCTAAATTCATGGACTGAAAAAGACCATTTTCCAATGCCCTTCATGGACCAGATGCTTGACAAGTTATCAGAGAGAGGGTGGTATTATTTTTTGGATGGATACTCTGGATACAACCAGATATCTATCGCACCAGAAGATCAAGAGAAAACCACTTTCACATGCCCTTATGGTACCTTTGCATTCAAAAGGATGTCATTCGGACTTTGTAATGCACCGACAACTTTTCAACGATGCATATTATCCATCTTTGCAGATATGGTTGAGGACTCTCTGGAAGTTTTCATGGATGATTTCTCGGTCGTGGGGACACATTCGAAGAATGCTTGACACAGTTAGAGCGAGTGCTTCAAAGGTGTGAGGAAACTAATCTAGTCCTAAATTGGGAGAAATGACATTTCATGGTGAAAGAAGGCATTATTCTTGGGCATAAAGTGTTGCAGCAAGGGCTGAAAGTTGACAAAGAAGGAATCGAAGTTATTGAGAAACTACCACCGCCGATCTCAATAAAGGAGATTCGCAGTTTCTTGGGTAATGCAGGCTTCTACCAGAGATTCATTAAAGAATGCTCAACCATTGTGCAAACTCTTAGATAAGGAAGTGGAATTCTACTTTGATGATGCTTGTATGGCAGCATTTAAATGTTTGAAGGAGAAATTGATATCCACTCCAATTATCATCAGCCCCAATTGGTTAGAACCATTCGAAGTGATGTGTGATGCGAGTGGTATGTCATTAGGTGTAGTATTGGGACAAAAGCGTACCAAACTGTTTCACCCAATCTATTACGGAAGGAAGACTCTAAATAGTGCCCAGCGAAATTACACAGTCACTGAACAAGAGTTGCTAGTAGTGGTCTATCCTTTCGAAAAGTTCCGGGCAAACTTGCTAGGCACTAAAGTAGTTGTTCATACAGTCCATGCAGAACTCTAATACCTCATGGCAAAAAAGGATGTGAAGCCAAGACTGATAAGATGGGTACTACTCTTGTAAGAATTCAATTTTGAGGTGAAAGATCAAAAAGGTTGCGAATATCAAGTTGCAGATCACCTATCACGGTTAGAGAATAAAGCAGGTATTGAGCAGGAAAAGAAGATAAATGACTCATTCCGAGACGAGTAGATATTCACATTGTCACTCACACACGTACCATGGTATGCTGACTTTGCAAACTACATCGTATGTGGGTTGATTCCCAATGAGTTAAACTCTTACCAACGAAAGAGGTTCCTATTTGATGTTAAAAGATACTTCTGGGACGAGACATACTTATTTCGGGAATGTGTTGATCATGTCATAAGAAGGTGTGTTCCGAAAGAAGAATCAACAGAGATCCTCCATGCCTGCCACACATCACCAGTTAGGGGTCATCATAGTGGAAACCGGACTGCAGCAAAGATTCTCCAAAGTGGTTATTATTGACCTTCTCTTTACAAAGATGCCCACGATTTCGCTAAGAGATGCCCTCAATGTCAGTAGCAAGCCAGAGTGTCAAGTAGACATGAGTTACCCCTTACACCTATTTCGGAAATCAAACTATTTGATATGTGGGGAATTGATTTCATGGGTCCATTTGTCAGCTCGTTTAGAAGAAAGTATATCTTAGTAGTTGTGTACTATGTGTCCAAATGGGTGGAAGCTGTCCCACTCCCAAATAATGAAGGAAGAAGCGTTGTCCAATTTTTGAAATGCTACATCTTTGCACAGTTTGGCACTCCAAGAGCAATCATAAATGATGGAGGATCGCATTTTTGCAATAAGTGGTTTTCCGGTGCATTGAGCAAATATGGGGTAAAACACAAGGTCGCCACTCCATATCACCCCCAAACAAGCGGACAAGTTGAGGTGTCAAATCGTGAGATCAAAAACATTATATCCAAGATAGTAAACAACAGCAGAACCGACCGGTCTAGAAAGCTTGACGATGCCCTATGGGAATATCAGACTGCTTCCAAGACACATATAGGAATGTCCCCTTATCAGCTATTTTTTGGTAAATCATGCCATTTACCTGTTGAGCTAGAACACAAAGCCTTATGGGCATTGAAAGCTTTGAATTTAGATTGGACAAAGGCTTCAAGGGAGAGCCTGGACCAGTTGAATGAAATAGATGAGTTCTGGCTTAGATCTTACGACAGCCATTTACAAAGAGAAAATGAAGAAATGGCACAACACACGGATAGTCCAGAGGGAATTCAATGTGGGAGATTGGGTGTTATTGTACAACTCACGACTAAGGCTATTCCAAGGGAAGCTAAAATCCAAATAGTCTGGGCCTTTCAGAGTGGCACAAGTGTTCACCAATGGTGCTATAGAAGTTAAAGGTAAAGAGGGACCCTCATTTAAAGTTAACGGACAGCGTTTGAAGGTATACCTTGGGGATTGCCAGGAAATCGCTTTAGTTGAAGATTTGTACCTGGAGGATGTTTGATAGTATTCCTATGCCACGCCACGACGTTAACTAAGGCGCTGTTTGGGAGGCAACCGCAAACCTTTTATTGCTTTGTTTTACTTTGAGAAAATAATTGTGTGTAGTTTGTACAAGTTAAAGCAAGGGAGGAGAGTGAAATAATGTATGAAGGCAAACAACAAGTCCAGTTGGCGGATCGCCGATGATATCGGTGAGCACGACTCTTTCCGCCGGGTGACTCAAGGCAATGTCAGCTAGGATTCTGTAAAACTTGACGTTCAGTAGAAAATTAATGGCGAATCGCCAACCATGTCGGCGATTGCAATATAGACCGCCATTGAGATCCTCACATGAGCTGCGAGTCCTGTTAAATTTGGCAAAGAGACTAGACACTTGGCGCTTCGCCGAGTGAATGAGCGTACCCAATGTACATCGCCGAATGGGCAGAAACTGGACGATTTCTGCAGGTCATAGGTTTAAATATTCTGGTTCATTCATTTTCTCTCATTTCTTCATCCTACCAAACTCACACTTGCACTTTAGTCTTAATTTCCTTGCACTTTTGAAGTATTTTGATTCATAAATTTGTGCGCAAATTTGGATTTCATTGCCACCTAGCACCTCAGTAACTTCTTAATCAGTACAAAAGCTCATGAAATAAAAAGAGGAAAAGGGTCAGAATGATAACACAACAGGCACTGATGCCCAGACAGATGGAGCGACTGCTTAAGCAGGATCCCCTCTCTACCTCCCTCTCTGTTTTTCTTTATCTGCCCTTTTTGGATACTTTATTACTTGCATTTGAGAACAAACGCTTTTTATTTGTGGTGGGGTGAGGCCCACACCTTTTGTGTGTTATTTGGATATTTGGGTTGTCTGTTCTTAATTATTATTTTAAATTACTACTTTTTTGTGTATGTTTGAGCTCATGGCTCCTATTGTTTCACTTGCAAAATAATTTTGATCCTTTCAAAAAAAATTCGCCACCTCTTGTGTTGAAACTGGCTGTTCTTTTGCAAAAACGATTTGAGTCTCAGTTTCGATCAATACTGATGACTTGAATAGTGCTCCCAATTGAATAAACATGAATTTACAGCTACGATGAGGCCAAATGAAGTTGCATAGACAATATGTGAACTTTTTGCATCTCGTTGTGATTAGCCATTTATCAAATTGATTCTCTTGTGATGACCGTTGCACACTAGCGAGAGTGCCTAGTCTTGTTTGATTGAAGTATCGATGCCTTGTGTGATTAGCTTACTTTGAACCATGCATGAATAAACCTAGAATTTTCCCCGTTAGTCTAATTGATTTAGAAAGGTGTACTCTTGAGATGATCTTAGGCAATTTTAAACAGTGTGGGCCAATTTGACATATACCTATTTTTGTGACCTACCTATGAGCGTGTGAAACTCTTTTGAACACCTTTGAGCCTTACCTTTCTTTGGAAGAACCTTGATAAACCCTAGATTTTTTTCATCCACTACCTATAATCCTCTTGAGATGTGTTTAGTGAATAGCCAACTTAGGCCAAAAGTCTAAGTTTGGGGTGTGGTGAAAAGGAAAAGGAAAGGTCAAGAAGTGCAAGAAAGCCTCCTGAACCTATTGTATTGCAGAATAAAATGGAAGCCCTCCATATAAAAAAAGGGAGAAAAAGAAAGAGAAAAGAAAAGAAAGAAAAAGAAAGTTGTAGAATAAAAGTGCAAAAGAAACTGGGTTTCCAAGCAATATATGGAGAACGAATAATAGGATGACTTATGAGCACTAGAAGAAGAATTGAGGAAGGAATGTAAGAGGGTGTCTTGAGAACATCACATCTCACGAGGAAAAAGTCACTAAGCCTAAATGAACATACCTTTGCACTCAGCCCCATAACAAGCCTTAGAAAGACCTTTTTGATCTTGAGTAAGCTAGATCGAAAGTCAATTGGAAAATAATGGCAAACCTATGGGTGAAAACATGCATTGTGTTCCTCTTTTTGAGAGTTAGCGTTGTATCTGATTCCTGGTTTTTAAATTGACTCATATATGTGTGTGAATATGGAATCATTATTTGTGCAAGGGCATTTAGATACTTTTGTTGAGCTTGAACTTGCACAAGTAGCAAGTATTGCAAGCATGAGAATCTTTGGTGATGGTGTGTCACAATTTGAATCTTTGAATACACAATTGATCCTTGCATAAGTAAATTCAGTCTTGTTCTGTGCATTCATGATTTAGTCTTGTGTAGCACTGTTTGAGGCACCTTTTTTGAACTATTGAACTTGAGTTTGCTTGAGGACAAGCAAAATCTTAAGTTTGGGGTGTTGATGAGTCCACAAATTGGACTCATTTAGGGCTTTGTTTTAATGGAAATAGTGTCCTCGAATGCTTGTTTTACCTCAATACCTGATTAAAATGCTGAAGTTTCAAGTATTTGAAGTTTTAGTGGAAGCAAGGACACTTAGGCGCAAAATGGAGCAAATAGGGCTGAAAAGAACAAGAAATGGAATCCTGCGGATCGCCGAGTTTAACATGGCGAGTCGCCGAAACGACATAAGCCACCCTTCGTTCCAGTACGCGAAGCCTTGAAGGAAGAGGATCAAAAGGTAAGGAAAGAAGCAGTCGATGGATCGCCGATCAGTTTCGCGAAGCTATACTGTACCGCCCAATGATCCAAAATGCAAGGATTCTAAAGGCAAGACACTGAAGGTGATGAGCTGACCAAAGGGTGGATTACCGAGATCATCAGCGATCTCGACTAATGTCGTCGAACAATCCTCCGCAGCACAATCTGTGAAAACTATAAATACTATTTATCGTTGTAGTCTTAGGGGAGATTGGAGTGTGGAACAATTATTAATATTATTTTCACTTTAGAACATATTCTAGTTAATATTTTCTCTCAAGTTTGGAGAGGGTTTTGTGGAGACTTGAAGAAAGGAGTTCTTCTTCCCCAAGTTGGAAGTGGGTCTTCTCTATTCACTTTCCTTTGCTTAATTCAAGGTTTAATTTCTTATACCCAGTTGATTTCATTATCATGTTAGGTATAATTTCTTATTTCTTAATGTGTGGCAAAAAAACCCCATTCTTGGGGGTGTGATTTAGCAAATATGGGTTGATATTCTTGTTGGGTCTTGATTGCTGATAGGTTAGATGAATGTTAATGGTGATTTCACCTAGTGGTTGTGGTTTAATCTAAAGGGTTTGTAGTTGTAAATACAAAGCCACCCATGTGTTTTCGGCTTGCCCGAGATGGAGGTCACGAAACCAAAACCACTAGACTGATGGCCTAAGGAGTAGGTCGACATGAGGCTCAGCCCGAGAGGGTGAGCCCTAGTCCGATATCTTAACACTCAGCTCGAGAGAGTGAGTGGGGTAAGGCGTAGGCTGGTCTTCAAGCGGCAAATGGGTGTCCGAGAGAAACGCATTTGAAAGGGGGTAAGTTGCCCGAGAGGGAACTTATTTCCATTTAAAGCTTAGCCTAGTCACTATTATCTTGCAAATTTACTATTGAAAGCATGTACCCAGCAATTTATCTCAACTTCTATTGCGGTCACATCCCAAGAACCTTTCCCCATACTTGATTTTCTTGTTTATTTTGTTGTTTTAGCACTTGTTACAAAATCCCCATTTGATATTTGACACTTTCGTGTCACCTCCTATAATTTACTATGTCTTTTATTGCAAACGTCTTTAACTACGACTAACTTGAATGAAATTCTAATTGATTATTAATTCTCAAAAACTGCTCCCTTGGGACACGACCCCAACCCTCGGTTGGGTTACTATATTATCGACGATCGTAGACACTCATATCGTAGGATAGTGTCGTTGGTTACGATAAGCATCAGTTTTCTAACAATCCATGGGAAGCGAATAATAGGATGACTCATGAGCACTAAAGAAACTAATGAAGGAAAAGGGAAGGAAGTGTTGTGAGTACCATATCTCATTAGGATGAAAGTCACTGAGCCTAAATAACCATACCTTTGCACTCAGCCCCATTATATGCCTTGAAAAGACCATTTTGATCTTGAGTGAGCATAAACAAATATTGATTGGAAAATACGGGCAAACCTATAGGTGAAATTATGCATTATGTTCTTCTTTATGAGTGTGAGCATTGCATCTGATTCCAAAGCTTTAAACTGTGAAACCATTTTGTTAATATGGAATCATTCTTTGTGTGAGGGCATTTGAACACTACAGTTGAGCTTGAACTTGCATTTGAAGCAAGTATTCTGAGCATGATATTCGTTGATATTGGTGAGTCACAACTTAAATCTTTGAGTGCACATTTAATCTTTACAAAAGTAAATTGAGTCTTGTTGTGTGCATTCATGATTGACTCTTGTGTAGCACTGTTCGAGACACCCTTTTTGAACGGCTGAACTTGAGTTTGCTTGAGGACAAACAAAATTTTAAGTTGGGGGTGTTGATGAGTCCACAAATTTGACTCATTTAGGGTTATATTTTGATAGAAATTGTGTCCTCAAATGCTTATTTTATCTCAATATCTTATGAAAACCCTTAAGTTTCAAGTATTTGAAGTTTGAAGGAAAGCATGGACACTATATGCAAAAAGGAACGAAAAGGCTGAAAAGAACAAAGAAATAAAGGCATGAGGATCGTCGAGTCCACTTGACGAGTCACCGAAAGGTCTTACTTCGCCTTTTGTTCCAGTGTGTTGAGCACTGAAGAAAAGGATCAAGTCGGTGGAAAAAAGGAGCAATCGGCGCATCGTCGAGCAGTTCCGCGAAGCAGTACCATGCCGCCCAATAACCCAGAGCACGATGATGCTAAAGGTTGGTACAAGAGGGCGATGAACAACACCAAAGGGCGAATCGCCGAGTTGATCGGCGATTCCAACTAATGACGCTAAATGATCCACTGCAACACATATTTGTGATAACTATAAATACTAGTTAGAG